TAAAGAGGACATAGACATGTTTTTTGCTTCAAAGCCAAGTGATTTCTTTAATCAGGGCATTAACAACCTGATTGTAAGATGGAAAAGCATCATCGATAAGAATGAAGACCATTTCATTGTTTTGATAAATAGGTTGTTCGGGTTTTTCCATCTAAAGAAAAGCGACATTAATTTCTTGACGACCTAATATATATAATTAAGTAAATCTAATACTATTAAATACATTAATTATCCATAGGCGATTAAAATCAGCACTATAAAACAATAATGAACTTAATACAAAATAAAAACAACACTATAATGAGACCAAAATTCAATATTATTCTTCCATTACCAATCCTCGTTGTCCTAATGGATAATTCTGTGTCGATATATTACCAAACATGCAGGGGATATTCCATCTATCAGACAAAATCCCGACGCCGATATCAAACTCGCCAGCAACAAAGGACAGACACTTTCTATTATTACTTAAGGATGATAATGAGGACAGGTAATGGAGGAATTATTCTGAATTTTGGTTTCATCATAATTTTTTGTATATGTGTAAGTGTATAACAGCAATACTGGGCTTAAAAGAGTAACGCCATAATGTGAGCTCCTCCCTTCTCCTATATCAAGTCTTAGAAAAAAGCCATTCATGCTACGCGCGGCTCCAAACGTCACTTTCGTTTGGCGTCGGCTTCGCATGTTTTGCTATCGACCTCTTGACTCAGTTAGCTTCTAAATTCGAACCGTTTCTCCGATTACCTACCCACTTAAATCTTGATCTTTGGAAGCTTCACGTGAGTTCCTTTACCAAATACAATCAAAACTAGTTCAGCCAACTTGTGAAACAGAGACACAGACAAACAACTCTCTCTATATATATATGATAATAATAATTGAAACTGTTTTTAAGGCAAAGCTGCTTAGCGGGCCATCTGTGCTATGCCCATTGCAGATATCCAAAACCTCAAGTTTTTAGTGTTATACGCACTAAAGCTTACTGCTGAAACATGGAGAGGGGCAAAGTCAAACACAAGTATTTTATATACTATTATTATGCCATATAACGCCTTAGCCCGGAAATCGTCGTCAGTTTTACCTGATATCTTAAAAACACTGTTACGATAGCGGAAGTCACGTGACTCTAGTAACACATAATGAGTTCTAGAAAGATCGAGGAACATCACGAATAATCCAGTATTTGCTAGGCACCCTCTATTCTTGTATATAAGTGCGCCAGACAATGAATCGAGATAGAATAGCAGACAGAGACAGATTGAAGATACAGATGGACAATTGAATCAAACGCAGTAGTAAGTAAAGTGCGTGAATCATTCGTTGAGAATTATAGCGTGTGTTTAAGTGTATTGCAAAGTTGTATTGAGAAAGAATAAACTAGTTCTATTTAAGAAAGGACTTGTATCACTGAAGTTTCTCGGAAAGAATTTCTGCGGGAAATTAACAAACGAACAGAGACAAATTGGTGTCAAAAGCGGGATAGAAAAAAAAAGAAGATGGAAACGAGAGGTGGCAAATCAAACTACAGCTTAGCAGATTTGATGGCAGCAATACAAGAACAGCAAAAGAAACAAAAATAATGAAAAGATAAACAAGAAAAGAGATTACAGCAGTTGTTGGAAAAAAAAGAAAATAAACAAGAAGAGAGATTACAGCAGTTGTTGGAA